ACTGATGGCAATGTCTTTTTGTATTAATTGAGGAGGGTACTTGAAAAAGAGATGGATATTTTGTCCTGAAAAAAATATCTAAAATTCAGTAAATCTTAAATATCTGGAAAAAAATTGAATTTGATTTCTGAATTATAGTCAGAACAACACAAGCTTGCATCAATTTTTATACATCTGAGTGTGTTTCATGAAATAACACTTTGGAAAGTAATGATATCAATGAGGCCATTGTTTTGAATATTTTGAATGAAATTTTAAAACAGTTGAATTGGGTGTAGGGAATGACCCCTGTGCCCCTGCCACAAATCCGCTGTTGTTCAGTAATCTGCTTTGCATTCCTGAACATTTGTTCACAAGCTGCCACTGCATTCTCCTTGCAATATGTTCCTTATTTTACTCTTTCAAAATTATTGTAAGAAAATTATGCACAATAGACTCCGTTACTACTTCTGATGTTGAACAGTATTCTAGCCAGTATAAATCAGTATTAAGAGACAAAAAAGGCAGTTGCACATTCTAACATTTAAATCACTACTTTGCACATGCCCAAGTATCAGAAAAGGATTAAGGAACTTACTTTCAGCAACACAATAATATTTAGACTATTTTAGTACCTACATGATTAAATCTTATTCTGCTAATATTAAAATTGGTCTCTTTGACCATTTTATAAATGTAATTTAAACAATTGTCTAGCATATGTTATTTTCACAATTTTAATATTTTTATTCAATTGTTAGTCCATAGTTTACATCATGCTGAACATTTTAATACATTTGTTTGTACATATTTAGGTTCATGTTATTCCATATAAATCCCTGCTGCAGAGAATACATAAAACTAATACAATATCAATAACATCTATTCATTCTCTAAAGTTCATGGACTTTGCAGAGTTCAAATAAATAACTTCTATTATTTCTATGTAACACAATGAAAAGAAAACTCTAATAAAATGAATGAGTGAGCTAGTAAGTGAAATTTATCTGCTAGCAAACTTTTTTTATAAAAAAACAGTGACTGTGAAGAAGCAAATTGAACATACTAGTGCTCTGCAAAAATATTTTTGAATTACCTATTCTGTTTTCTCTTTGATACAAACACTCTTTTGCAATATGCATAGGGCCTTCTATGTCTTGAATAGCTTTCTCTAGATCTCTTCTCTTGTCTTGCAATAAATTTGTTTCTCCCAAAAGTCGTTCTAATTCTGTAGCTAATTCATTTCGCCAAAATGTTGTATCAGTTAAACGTTCACCCAATCGCCGTCCTGATTCTCGCTGTCCTGAAGCTGTTTTCTCTTCTGTTTCTCTGAAAATTATACATCACTAGTAACTAAATTGAATTGAACTTAACATTAAAATCTGATGCTGCTTATAAGCCTACATCCTACATTAAAAACAATTAGTTTATAAGGCAAGAGAAAGAAGAAAGGGTAAAGCAAAACCAATTTTTATTGCTGTTTATATAAAATATAACTTGTGATTGTAATTGTGATGTGATGGTGTGTGTGCGTGCGCATGTGTGTGTGTGTTTGTGTGTGTGTGTGTGTGTGTGTGTGTGTGTGTTTATATAGTGAAATGTGTTTATACAGTGAAATGTGTTATTTGTTAAATTCTAAATACATAATTATTCAAAAACATTGAGTAGATTTGTTAACCTATTTTTTGTATGAATATTTTTATACTTGTCTGGAAAAAATTGTTTGAAAATGGAGATACAGTAATAATTTTGTTGATATGTAGAATGATATAATAGAAAGGATGCTTATCAACAAAAATTGTTCTGGTGCAATGGGAAGTAAGACATTCACAATAGAAATAATGTATTTTACAATTCTTGTAATGTTGATTTACTTTGTACACAATATTACTAATAAAACAACTTTTCAATTCACATAATGATGATGACAATGCTGTTAATTTCCATATATTCTAAGAACGAATATTTAATTTTAATTTACAGTAATTCTGTAGGTAAATTATTAATAATAATATTATTACAAATTATACCACATCGTCATCTTGGGTACAAACTATTTCAAACTGCTTTCCATTAATAGTATCTAAAAATTTACCCATCTGTTTCATCAGATTATGTAAATGTTATTTTACTTTAAAGAAAACATACATTTAACAATTTTCATTTATGACAGCTGTAGCTTCTTACCTTATTACTCTCATAGCATCATTTCTGTGTCTTTCTGAATAATTTCTGCTGGTGTCTGCCTCATTAAAATGGCTGATGATATTCTGGGTCCATTCATATGGGGTATAACGAGTATATAGGGCTGTTCGAGCTGCATGATCTGGATTGCGATCAAATCCTGTCACTAAGTTAGGAAAACGAAGTGGCTCTGTCACCATACCCTTTGGAGTGTAGCAAGCATCCACCAAAGCATTGGTGACTGGCTGTCCAGGCCTGTAGTTAAAAACAGAAATTAATGATTCTCCACCATGTAATAAATAATCATTGGCAATATAGCTTTTAAAGAAGACTGGAGCAAAGCAACTTATGTATTTTACCTTCTTATAAAGGGACTTTTATAGAAAATAATCCAAACAAGGAACTATTAATTGCAAACTGAGAAAAAGCTGTTTAAAGTTATTTCAGTATAAAAAAATGCAAAATCCAGAAGAGAATATATTAGAACAACTTAATGTGCATTTTAATATGTTTTACTATTAAATATTTCAATGATATTAACCACCCCTAAGAGCTTCATAATCAAAAATAGTGGTTGGTTGTTTTTAAATAAATTATTACTATTTATACAAAAGGAACCAAGGAAAGTTTGGCAAAAGATAACTGGGTATTAGGTACAACAAAATATAGCAAATTTATTAACACAGTTATATAATTATAAAGAATAAATGCATCCAATTTTGGAAACAACACTTATTATCAATGCACTTATTTATCATATTCTACGATGAAGTCTGCTATCATTCCAAAATGAACTATGCCTTTATCAACTTCAAAGTTGGAATTAGTATTTTCATAAAACAGCCAGGCATTGCTTATCAGGTGCCAGCACTAGGGCACGGGCTGACCGGGCGCTCACCCTGGGCCCGCAAGTCTAGGGGGCTGATGATGGGACAGATGGGAAGCAATTAGAACTCAAGAAAATCATTATCGTAATTTTTTAAGTCACAGTGTTGTAGTCTGGTTTTTCATAAAATTTTCAATTATTTTTTTTACCATAAATAGTTAATTATAGTAATTACTAGAGCCGCCGATCCGGTGGCCGAGATCGCTAAGGCAGTAGTGCCGTAGTGATCTCCGTACCGAAAGATCGCGGGTTCGAGTCCCGCTTCGGGCATGGTTGTATTGTGTTCGTCCCTTCACCCCCTATCATCCATCATCCTCCATCTCTCATTATCACCTTTCTGAATAACATTCAGAATTGTAACTCGAGGATTTATTCACACCTCAAGCTGATTACCTTCGACCATGAACAGTAAAAATTGAAGTGGAACGACTCACGTGGTCTAATAATAATAATAATAATAATAATAATAATAATAATAATAATAATAATAATAATAATTACTACAGCCAGTTAATTTTGTTTCTCTCTGTGTCTATCTTCCTATTGATGATGACATTTTTGATTTTCTTGGTACCTTTGCAGTTGCCATCCATGTTCATGTGTGACACATTTACTACCCTCTTTTTGAGACTTCTTTCCATTAACTAAATACCATCCATTACATAGGCCTCCAAGGTATACAGTTTTTGTTAATTTTTGAGGGCAAATTTCTCATTTCAGAAATCGGAATTGTTTGGATTACTATGTCCTCAAATGAGGTATTTTTACATCACAGATTTCAGTACATGTACGGTATTCATAATAAGTACCATTCTTATTTTTCTGTTCTGACCCCCACATGGCAGACCATGAAATAAGATGTCACGTTATTTCCATTGTGGGTAAGAATCTTTCACAAACAGAAATCCACTTCCGGGGATCTTGACTTCCAGTGCCTTCTACCCAAATATAAATTTAAATTTTTGTTTTCTTTTCCAGAATGGAAGACAGTATTACATACTCAAATTTGCCTCTTGTTAAAAATAACATTTGTCGAGATTCTTTGTAGAGGCAATGTTTTTTCCAAATCAAAACGGATCCTTTTCTAGATAAGTCACAAAGTATTTTCTATAAACAAAACCAACTGCTGAATATCACTTGGTTCTATATAAATAAAATAGTATGACGAAGTTGTTCTCTACTTTGTAGTTGCCTCAACCTCTCACAACTGGCTGCACAGATCGGATATCTCTTCCAATATTTCCATACAATATTATAACTGTTTTATGTCAAATTTGTATAGAGGACTATCTCAGAAATATTAAAAGTTGTTCATTTTAAATAAAAGCTGCCCATGTAATCAGCTTTCAATCCAGTGTTGGCATAAGAAGACGGGCAAGGAGGCTAGGGCCGTACTTACATTATGAAATAGATTTCTATTAACCATGAGGGCGCCAAATTGGTACGGTACCCTCTTGCTCATATTCACTGGACCAAGATAGCCTAATGGCACCAATATGCCATAGCAATGATGTGTCTTAGCAATTATATGCCTTAGCAATCAGCCTTAGCAATGTGCCTTTGCAATTGTGAATTTATACCTGTTCCTGTTTAATCTTTCACAAGATATACGATTTTGGAATACATTATATTTGTAATTCAAATTCAAAGAAAAAACAACAAACTTGTACTTTCTCCTTCTTCAGCATCTCACTTCAGCACAATGAAGTGTGCAATACAAAAAAATGTCTAGAACTTAAAAAAAATTACAGAATGTTTTCGTTGAATGAAAAAGAAAAACTGTTGGTGTAATTCACGACAGTGAATTTAAACTAGGCAAATTAAGCCCAGATAGAGGTTTTTCGTACAAATAATTTTTTTTGTCCAGAATTTGTTCTTTCATTAATGTCATGCGCATTTTTTGAAAATGTTAGTACTTTTTGCTCAATATTGTGTGCAATTTTAAAAAATTACAGAAACAAGATCTTCTCAAAAACGGCTCAAATTTTGTCTTTAATCTTTTCATAGGGATTGTGTTAAAAATACATTCTATGAAATGGCATAAACGGTGTATTGCTCTATTTGTTGTTGTTTTTCAAATATTATAAAAATGAAATTTTTTTGACTTGTCTCTCACGTTATTGAAATTTACACTAGCGGCTATTTTTTCACATTATTTAAATGTCATTTAAACCTTTTTAAAAAACTCAACTGCTTTCTGTCAAAACTAGCTCAAAATTTCGCAATTTCAGAAATTCTCAAACGCCATTTTCTCAAAAATGTTTCCAAATTTTTTCTTCAAACCTTTTGAAAGTATAGTGTTAATTGCAAATCTTTAATAAGAGGTAAAGTTCATTTCGGGGTACTTTTTGTTTTGCCAAAAAAATACACAAATGTAATTTTTTTGAAAGATCTCTCACGCCGGTAATATGCGTATTTCCGGCAATTTTTAAACACTATTGTATTTGTGAGTTAAAGTGATTCAAATGGCCTCATATGAAGTTTTTAGAAAACTCAAAAATGTTATGTGAAAAGAGCTTCAATTTTCGAATTTACTGTAGCGCTTAAGCGCTATTTTCTTAAAAACCGCTCCAACGTTAAAAAAAATTCCCATTTAGGACGAGGTTTTACTGTTCTTTGATATTCATGAAATAATATTTCCGTTCTGTTATTAGGAAACCAAAAAATTAAGACAATTTCAAAAATGTGCTTTGGGCGGCGATAGATGGCAGCAGGCAAGAGTATGTGGTAAGTTCGAATAGCTAGCCGATACCAAAGGAAATATAAAACTAATACGGGAAAGTCTGTGCCATTCTGTTGCACCACTAGTTAATTATTATTATTATTATTATTATTATTATTATTATTATTATTATTATTATTATAAATTGTACGTAATTAGAAATTTAAGAAAGTTTGTTTGACACTTTATTGTTAATAGCAATGGAAAAGTATATTATTACGTATGTTTAAAAGTATATATTTTTACGATTCTTTCGTGAAGTCATATTTTACTGTATTTGCATGACATATTTCAAATAAACCCGAACCAATTTCTGTTATACTTACAAAGGAATTAATTCCACATTTTCGTATCCTAAGGTAGGTCGCCAGGGGTGAGTGCGTGAGGTTTTGTCATATGCCGAAGCGCGAGGAGGAATTCCAGATGCAGACACCTGGTCCACATACGGCGGAGCTCCAGCGCAGCTCCATGGCTGGAGTTGCTACACAAGATTGCAAATTCAACACAGCAATTGTTATATGGCAGATTGTTACGATAAGGTACTAGAAATACCTTGCTACTTCTGTAACTGGATAATGTGTTGACTATACAATTTTGTGATATCTACATATACGTAACCGGTACTTACCGAATACATCACGGGATCTGAAACCATTATTTATAAAAAAATGAACTGCATCTAATAGAAGACATCATTTGTGAGATTAGTTGGCCGAAACGAGGTTGTTTATTCGAACTTGGCCTGGTTGCCTTGGTAACCTGTTCTGTGTTTATTTTTATCTGCTTGTGCAGGCCGTTCTGCACCGTGACATCCTTAGCTGAATTCTGCAACTGTTCGAAATAAGCAGATAGGAATCCATTCGAATACAAGCAGATATTGCATTTGTAAAATCATTTCCATAAGATTTTTTTTTCAAGTTTTAAATGATATTGCGTGTAAAAATTTCGTAGACATTTTTTAAAATATTGTTTAAATTTCATAATTAAAAGTTTTTTTTCCTATTATGATTTTATTTCATCTCTGTTATGAACTTTCCTTTTCTGCTACTACTTGGTAATCGATAAAATATCTGCATTTGTTCACTACAAGGAAGATTATCAAATCTGTTAGATTGCAGTCTTGGCATTTAATCTATTCTTTTTTTTTAAGGTCACCGGTCCCACAACACTGTAATATGTTAACATTGGTTTATGTATTTCAGGGTAACGGTGACGGAATACACCTGTAATACACCTACGGACATCATGAACACACCCACAAACAGCCACGCCCGAGGAGGGATTCGAAGCCGCGACCCTTCAAACCGTGGAACTTCTGCTTTAGCGACCTCGGATTTCCAGGCCGGCTAAGGTATGTATGTAAAGAAGTTGTAAACTGACATTTTCGCGTCGACTTTCTGAAACTAGTGATGTTTCATAATAGCAACCTCTCTCGTTCCTTGACTGATCTAGTTATATACGTAGTATGAAGTTATGCAATGCTCCGAGGGAGGAGAAAAAACAACTCTGTGATTGTTCCACCGAAAATCCCATATTGCCGGGCCCTGGCAATGATAAAGTGGATAAATCGTGTTCGTTTATTTAGAAAATTACTAACATTGTGTAGTCCGTATTTTGTGGGCTCCCGATCGTCACCGAAAAATCGATTGACGGCAAAACATCTGTCCGTCAGGCTATGAACAATGCAAGAAGCAGAACTGTAAGCAGGATTTTCCCCAAAATTGATATTTAATTAAGCAGGAAATTGATATTTATGCCGCGGTCCATTCAATTTGAAACCGATATTTTAATTTATTTACTGACTTCACGGGGGACTTCATTGACGCCTCAAGGGTATTTCCATTTTTTTTAAATAGCTCTACTTTTTTATTCCAGTTTGTCCTCAGATAGTGTAGAGGACGCTCAATTCCACCGTGATGATAAAGTGGATAATTCTTGTTCGTTTATTTAGAAAATTACTAACATTGTGTAGTCCGTATTTTGTGGGCTCTCAACCGTCACCGAAAAATCGATTGACGGCAAAACATCTGTCCGTCCGTATGTGAACAATATATAAGCATGATATTCACCAAAATGCCGCAGCCCCTTGCATTTGAAACCGATATTTTCATTTTTGGAGGGTACTTTACTGACGCCTCAAGGATTTTTTCAATTTTTTTCTCAAAAGTAGCTCATTTTTTTAAATTAAAGTTTGTTCTCTGATAGTGTAGAGGACGCGTAATCAAATGGCGTAGGTTTCAGTTTGTTGAAACACTTGAATTTTATAAAAATGTAATTTCAATTTTTTCTGTATTTTCCTCTAACTGCATTATTAAAGTTAGATATTTTTCCTCCAAATAAAATCTGTTCTTCGAAACTAGATCTTTAATTGAGACACAATTTTCAAATATGAATAGTTTTAAAGTAATTTTACGTGAAATAAATGGAAATTTAAAAATACTATTTTCTTAAACACTGCTCTAAACTTTTTATTGAAAATTTGTGTACTCTCTGAGCCACACGTGGTGAATGACATAAAAGCCATTTTGATGCATTTTTAGATTTCTTGTAAACTAAACCGGGAGAGGTGGCTCATGGAATCAACTGATGCCGCACTGCAGTGCGTCTGACCGGGAAGTTCTAGGTTCGAGTCCCAACGGTGGCAGGATTTTAGACACTTTACACTTACTAGATCGTGTTGAGTCGCTGTCTGATCAGAAGAATTCTGAAGGCCGGCAACTCTGATCAGCTCTTGGTTTCTCGGATCAATACCAGGCGAATGCCGGGGCTGCTCACTAAGAAACGGACCAAGGACTGCGCGCGATTTTTCCTTCCTCTTTCTTGTCGTAACTTCATCCCTTATTTACACACACACATCTAAATGCACTACACTACCACACATGCCGGAAACCGGTCGGGAGCTTAGAGCTTGTACCGGCTGTGACGGTTGTCTGCTGGTGGAATGTACCTAGTTGGGGAAAACCCCGCTAGTCGGCGGGTAAGTCGGTGCCTCCTTCCGAGGGAAAAGTGAAGTACACTTACTTACTAGTAACCTTAGCAGTTGACGAGCCCGGAATCACTAATGAATCAAATGTTAAACTAAAACGTAAGTTCAAAATTTGCATATTTTGTCTAGAAAGGCTCCAAAGTTTTCAATGATAGAGCATATAGGAGTATATTTTACTCTTCTGTAATAGACTCAAAGCCATATTTCAATTCTACTATTAGAGGGCCGAAAATTGAGAAAATGTGAAAAATGCCGTTTGGTGCGCCGATATGAAGTAGCTAGGGAGAGTGCGGGATAATACCGAAAAGGTAGCGTATAATAGAATCATTACAAAACTAACTAGAGCGAGGAAGCCAGTGCCATTCTGTAGCATCACTGGTTTGCGTTTTCTCCCACCTTCTTCCCTGCTATTGTCTTTCGACGCCTAAAGGACCTACTTGGAGCTCTATTCTCTACATTAGAACCTATTAGGATGCATAAGGGGCGTGGTTGCGTAGGCTGTCGCGGCCGGAGTTTGTTTGCTAGGCTATCCGGGACGAGCCGCGTCAATGCCTTATATGGCCACAATATGCTGGCCGAAACGTTAGCCACCATGACATTGACGCGGCTCGTCCCGGGTAGCCTAACCAGCATAAGGGGCGTATTTGGCGCGCGTGCAGCAGGGCAGCGAGGAAGTCGCTGATGGCCTCGGTGTTAAAAAGCGAATTGCAATAAATCAAAATAGACAGACATTTAGTCACTGTGTTACGGGCCATGGACTTACTTTATTCAATAAATACTAATGTTGCAAATGTTGGCACACTTGAAAGAAGTGATAAACATGATTCCAACCTGCAGTGTCTTCTGAGTCTGAAAACATATAATTTAATGTGAAAACAAAATATTTATGGTCCGTGAGCCGTCAGTAAAAGTTTTGTTCTGACTATACTTTCTTCAGGTTTGCATCCTATGAGGGACTACCTCGCACTTTTAAAACGTGTTTAGCAAGTCATGCGACGTAATATTACGTGCTTAGAAAACACTTTCAATGGTGAGCCGTAACACTGTGACATTTGGCCTCTTGCTTTGCTTCTAAATACTACATTTTGCAGTTTCATTGTCATCAAATAGTCTCCTCAATTTTGCATACACTACAATGTACATATTGGACCTCCTGTGTTAAGTTGGTTATCCAGCAGAGGTTAACCTCAAAAAATGTAATAGAAAGCCCCAGTAGGGTCATTCCACGTCAAATAGCACAAATTTAAGAAAAATGACCTTGATGTCCCAGATTTTCAAACTTTTGTTGTGAAGATTGTAAGCAAAAATATGAAACACGTGATTTTCATTTTTTCCAAATATTGTTTTTTTATTGTTTTCAAAATTTTCGATAAAATGCTCGCATCGCTAAAGTTAATCATTTTTAACTCTTGTTGTAATTGTAACATAAATTTAATATTTTGTGACTATATGGAACTAAAGGTGCTCTGTCATTTGATGTGTATGTATTGAAAATCATTTGTGACCTATTTTATTTTTTATTTTTTTTCAAAAATCGACTGTTTAAGAATATGAAAAACATACCAGTGGTCACAATTTTCAATTGCGTCCAATCAAAAGTAACATAATGAAGTTGTAGTTAAAACAATGGCAATAAACTATTATGTAATTGAGTGAAAACAAAATACATACAAAGTCGTTCCTTACTACAGAGTAATAACAATACATACGAAAAATGTTCGGCAAAAAATATTGTATTAAGAACTTGCTCGTTTGACACGGTATACTTTCAAGTATTGAAAGGTATTCTCTTTTAAATCTTCGTTCATACGAAAATATAATTTACATTTAATTCAATTTTTCAAATCTTGCAATATACCTTTTCGTAAAGCATCCTTCGAAGATCTTTGAATTTCATTCGATAAATCGTTGACCTTTAGGCCCTTACTGATGCGATTGAAACGTTATTATACGACTGAAAAACCTCGACGTGGCGTTCGACCTCGACTATCCCGGGACGTGCCTGCGGCTTTCAAGTATCAGTCTGTCGTCTACCAGCGGGAAGTGATAGTGGTAGCATTGTGGATTCTGGAGAATGTATTTTTATCATTCTGGTGCACTTGTTCAGAGGAGCCGATTTCTCCCCAACGACTTCAATGGCAGAATGACAATAGTAAGTTTTCATTTTGCTTTCGCTGATGAGTAATAGCATTTTTTTACTTGTCTTTCTTTAAAATAAATAATTTGTGGAGGAAACTGTGTCAGATGGAAGTAGTGGTATCTCGGATATTTACAATTGCATTCAATATACTATAGTACTTTTTCTTGGCCTGTATAAAACTGAACTAAAACTTTTGTTTTAATTTAAAGATCGTTGAAAAATTAATTCACCGATGTATTTATCATATGGAAAAAGGATATAATTTTCTGTGTATCCTTGGGGTACGTTATTGGAATATAGTTTGATGTTTATTTTGGTTTCCCTAGAATATTTTGACTGAACATGTTTTAGTGACCGTCTAGGAGGTAAGTGTATTAAGCATTTACGTGCAGCCTAATATAATTTCCGAGTTTCGATTGCAAATTGCAGAATAGACAAGTTAAAAAAAATTAAAAATGTGTCACTTTTTCATTTCGTCGCAAATTCTTACCTTTACGTCATTTTCTTCAAATATAAGAATAATTATAAAAAATTTCCAGAGGAAGAACTATGTCACGCGGTCAAGCATGGAAAGATATTGCGGCGTTTAATCCATAGTTCACTGGCCTCCAGTAGAATTACGTTTTGCAGTGATGTATGTTTGGATCCAATATGCTCGAGAATTAGGTGGAGTTAACTAAAAAGTGCGGAGGGTAAATTTTTAGAAAATAAATTGCAAATTCACGACGGAAATGTTTGCATGGTGACCAATTTCTAAAACCATTCCATGAAGTTGAGATCCAGGTCATATGAACATAAATATTGGGCGCGAAAGGAAAATAGAACATAGTGCAAGGGTAGGGCAATGTAAATGAATGATGGTTTCACGTATTTCTACAGATGTTCCCACAGTTCAAAAGTATTCAGGGAGTGTTTTGAAATGCCTCCAGAACGTTCCTTTATTAGTTGAACATGCTGCACTCTTTTCTTCTTATACGTGATCTTTTATTCGATTAATTTTTTTAAAATTTTTTTTCGTCAAAACCCAATAAAATCTTTATATGACGTTTGGGGGAGAAGTATAAATCTATGCACGTTTTCTTGAGCTTCAAATTCCTGTGCCCTTTCTTTTACTCTACGTTCATATTTGCACGATGAACAAAAGTATTATCAAAACGAGGTTAATAATATTTGAAATCTAGATATTTTCATTCCTGAGTTATTGAAAACATATTTGGATTTGATCTCCATCTTAGTTCTGTAAGTCGTCACTGTTCGTAATAAAAACTCTCTTAACTCAGCACGAAGGTTGAGTTTGAACTTGCAATGTCAAAAGTAAACAATAGAGTGAAGTCAAGTACGTATATTGAGATTGATGACGGGAAACTACCACTCGTTGAATGTCAGGTATATTACTTGGAGATAAATTGTGTGTATTATTAATTATCGAAATCTCCATGTTTATTATTGTGGACTGGAAGCCGTCAGGCTGAAATTTGGCAATTCTCATTCCCTATTTTTAGCCGATTCGATGAGCAGAACTATTTCTGTTGGCCCCATGTAGAAGAATTCCATGTGAGAAATCAATAGAAATTATGATTAAGTGAAAAATGTAAAGTTTTATTTGGATTTATCTTTTCACAGTGATTTTTTTGTATTATTAGATTTCAATTATTGGGGTAGGTCCATGCTATACTGTAATCTTTAAATCTTGACCCCTGCACACTTTCTAACTACAATGTTGAGAATAAGTGTCCCTTCGGAAATGCCAAAGGCTGTGATGCTGAACACAGCCTTGGACGTGGCGTCTGCCTGACAGCCTAGAGACATGCCAGGCATGCCAAACCGCGTCCGCACGAGCTACTTGCCCGCCTGGGAAGCCAGTGCTTTTGCGAGCATGGGCAACTTCTCCTCACCCCGCTCTTCCAAATCCAGAAACGGCTGAACACACCCAAAATGAAGCGACGCAAAGTGTGGAATAATGGCTACATTTGAAAATGTGTGCCAGATCAAAAAAAAAATTATGATTTTATTTTTTACTACTTTTTACTATTGAATGATGTTTTCTTTATAAATTCTGGCTAGAGGCAGAACTACCTGTGAATGCCGAATTCTTTCCTTGTTTTAGTTTTGTATTATGTTTCATTAAATCATTGTTATTTTTTGTATAAGCCTTAAAGTGAAGTAATTTGAATAATTTAATAAAAGCAAATAAAGTGAATGTATTTTCACGCTTCGTTTAAGAATTTTTCAAATGGTAGTTGAAGAGTAAGACAGCAATTGTCTTATTATAATATAACATATTCATAAACAATATAGCGGGAAAGTACGTGCTGTTTGACAACCACTAGTTTTCTATTGAAAAAGCTTCACTACTTATACATACTGGGGAAAAATTAGCTACCGTCACGCATTGGAAGTTACCGAAAACAAAGAACTCCATCAGTTTTAGGCACGCTGCTTTCGCTAAAGCCATGGACAACCTTTGCTTTAGAGAACGACTGTATTGCTGTCATTGCTCGCTAGGAATTCTACCTATAATACCGGTTGTGTCCGAGAGTTTGCTGGGCGGAAAACAGTTGATTTCGACGATCAAAGTGTTCCGGAATACTGAATATTTGGACTTATTTTGTCAGTAAGCTACTAGGGATTAATCGCAATTAGTAGGGCAATCTATTATTTTATGATTAATAAACACAATTAAATCGATTATATTTAGGCCAATGAATCTCTACATCAAGTAAATTTTACGATTATAGAGTTCGTTCATTTCAATAACTTTTTTTTACATTTCTAATCTTTAAATTTAGATTTAATTTAAAACTGTTGCCATTCCGGCACAAACCGAGCATTCACTGGTAATGTACTCGGATAATATACGGGGAATTCGGGAAGGAGGCTTTGAGCAACAACGAAGGTAATGATTAGCGTATTGATTATAATTAAAAGCCAACGAATCAATGTCACTCACAGCCGTCTTGTTGAATAAAACAATGATACTCACATGTATTGTTTTCGAATTATTTCACCACCAGGTGGCACTAGGATGGATAATGATTCAAATGACTTAACTGTGGTGTATTACGAACGCAAGCAACTGAACCATTATACATTGAGGTGTTTGTGTCAAAAATATTACAAGGTTGGAAAACAGTATTAGCTATGCTGCGGGCGCACTTTGGCATAACATCGGGTTTCTGTTTCTCAGTGTCGAAGAGCGAGTGCGCTGGAAAATAGGCGCTGCGCCGCACAGCATTGCGAGCTTGTCAAGGTCGAGGGCAGTGCCTTTAGTGTTTCGCTGCTTGGGATTGGAACTCGTGCCCATAGGAGCGCTTGTTCGCTCAGCGGACATGAATAGGCAGGGCGGCAAACATCCCGTAGGAACGACGTTTTGCGACGTGAAAATTGTGGAATTTTAGTGGGATTTTTAGTAACTTCCAGCGCGTGACAGCAGCTAATTTCTTTCACAGCACATAGAAATAACGAATGTCTATGAATAGAAAAAAATGAGGCCAGATTTTGACTTGCACCTGCTGAAAGGTCAGCTTGAACATGTTTCTGCAAGTTGGAAGTTATTCTGTATATTTTGCTTAAACACGTTTATTGTTATACATATTTATTTAATATATTTATGTTAATAAATTTAATGTTTAGTTTTGTAGTGTGAGGTTTTAAATACGTGGTTCATTGTAGCTAACTTCCTATATCTGAATTGTGGACAAAATGAACAGGAAAATCATGATCATTTCGAGAACTACATACCACCGAATCCATTTTGAAACTCGGCAGCACTGATAACGCAGATGATTTGAACTTACAGTAGTCACAGAAGGGATTTGCCTTAAAATAGTAATCTTTAAATTATGTGAAAAAGAAAGTAACTTCGCTTTTCATGGTATGAACGTGGGTGTCGAGGGGTTCTCTAAATTGTTCAAACAAGGTTCTAATGATAATTGTTACTAAGTGTATTTAATACCAGGCATTCCATTATATAATCTGATTTTATTATTAGGTTTTGAAATGTCATTGAGCGTTTGGGTTGCAACTGTAACTAAATGGGAACAGCGATTCTATGTAATGTTTCTGAGCGAAGCAGCTAACTATAGGAACACAGCCATCACAGAAATTTGCAGTACATTTGCCTCGTTTTAAATTTTTGGAGATTGTGACAGTGCTCCAACCCTGTAAATTATACCCTGCATTTCCTTACATTTAGTAAATTATCAGCGATTGAAGTCCAATCTCTTGTGACCCTAGTTTGTGTATTGCCTTCAGCGCGTTATCACAGCCCTTGCGACCCTACAACTGAAGATTACAAAATGTTACGATACAGTTTTAATGAAACATGCGTTCTTGGAAAGTGACGATATTTTTATATTTTAATAATTCACGTAGATTCTAGTGCATGTTAAAATCTTTATGGTGAAACCCATTTGGACCTAGATGGATAGTGCGAACAGCGCAGAGTCCATAAGGTAGATGAGATGTCCTAAGCAGAGCTGCAGTTCTGTTTCTCTAGATGCGTGTAGATTCACGGACACATAGGAGGTGCTTTGAAAATTTTTTGTAGTGGTGGTGAAACCTATTAGATAAAATAGTTAGTTATTTATAAATATTACGCATTTGGTGTACATTAATATATACACACTTTATACATATTTTACGTTCTTCAAAATTATAGATTTAATTTCGTATATTCATTCGTTTTAACGTTTCTTTAGTTTGAATCTTGCAGAAAAATCCCCTTAAGGTGTGACCTTTTTCATGTAAGGCAGGCAGCAGACTAGTACACCGAGATATGCTTTGCGAGAAATGTGGAAAGAGGTTAGTGACGTTGCGTCCACTCATTGGAAAGAAATCACTCGATATATCGAAATGCCTTTGTGCCACAAGAGCCAAGAATGAGACTGTAGAGATTGCTATGAGATCATCTGAGTCCCATTTGTTTTATTGAATGCTCTTGTGTAATTTTATCCCTTGAATTCCTTGTTTTATCACCATGATAGTAAATCCAGTTCGCATTGCTTGAAGATAATACATTATTGTGTTTCATTTAAATCATTCTTTATTTATTTAACGTAAATAAACAATTAAAGGCTGTATGTGACGTATGGGAGAGAAAAAATATTTTTTCAGTTCCAGAATATCTTAATCTTGTTACTAGTTGAAATACGAATAAATGCTCAATAATTAAATGATTCACTATAAAATTTACTGTAATAAGACCATTCATAAATAAGAAACATGAAATACAAAAATAATTCAAATCTTTTAATATATCCTTTTCAAATTTCTTCTTTTCAATTTATATTTTTATATTGTTCAATATGCACTAATTTGATTCAAGAAAGAATAATTTCCAACACAATATTGTTTCTAATTGATTTTCGTTTAAAGAAAAATGTAAGAAATTGGTTGGTTATCACACCTTTCACTGCGCAATTATATAACCTCACTGAATTCTGTAAGGCTATTTAGAGTTAACCTGTGGAAGCAAGCTCCTAAGTATCTGCCATAAATGGAACTGTAGAAATATGACCAAGGAAATTCTCGCAGACCGACACAAGCGAGAAACTCTTCAAAGTGTGCGGCGGCGATGTGTCTCTTCGCTTCGGTTTCCCAAATTTCTCTTTGCCCGTTTCTCGGTGAAGTCTGTTGTGGGCGTGAGATAATATATCATATGCTTGGTTCTAAACAATAA